TGTTTTCCAAGAATAAATCTACCGGCGCTATTTAAAAGTGATTTGAACAATTAGTGGATAAATATTGAAGCAAAAGCTTGGTTCAAAAATGGTTTATTTTCCTATAGCCTATTAACTCATTGAATTATTTGCCAAAATGCAGCGTAAGAAATGTTGACATTTATCAGTCAATGAATTTCTTAACAAAGAATATTAATGTGTATTTTAAAGTATTCGACATACAATATAAACTTTGAAAGGGAAAAGCTTTGTCAAAAGATGTTATTTACCTAAGCTATAACTTTGCTTTTTGCCAAAATCGACAGTTTTTACAAGAAATTTTTTGATCAAAAAGTACCAAAATGTGTCTAAAACAAATCTACTTGTTTTAAAATGATTTGGAACATAAATGATCAGTTTTGAAAAGAAAAAAAGCTTGGTCAAAAATGTTATATTTCCTAAGCCTATAACACCTGCATTATTTGCCAAAATCGGCAGTTTTTCAAGAAATTTTTTGATCAAAAGTACCAAAATGTGTTACAAAACAAATCTACGTGTATATAAAATGATTTGGAACATAAATGATCAGTATTGAAAGGGAAAAAAGCTTGTCCAAAATGTGTTATTTTCCTAAGCCTATAACCTTGCTTTTTGCCAAACATCGGCAGTTTTTCACAGAAAATTGTTTGATTAAAAAGTATCAAAATGTGTCTCAAACAAATCTACGTGTATTTTTAAAATGATTTGGAAACATAAATGATCAGTTTAGAAAGGGAAAAAAAGCTTGGTCAAAAATGGTTATATTTCCTAAGCCTATAACCTTGCTTTTTGCCCAAAAATCGCAGATTTTCAAGAGAAATCTTTTGATCAAAAAGTACCAAAATGTGTCTTAAAACAAATCTACGTGTATTTTAAATGATTTGGAACATAAATGATCAGTTTTGAAAGGGAAAAAAACTTGGTCAAATAATGTTATTCCAAGCCTATAAACCTTGCTTTTTGCCAAAAAATCGGCAGTTTCACAAAAAATTGTTGATAAAAAGTACCAAAATGTGTCTCAAAACATCTACTGTTATTTAAAAATTGATTTGAACATAAAATGATCAGTTTTAGAAAGGGAAAAAAGCTTGGTCAAAAATGGTTATTTCCTAAGCCTTAAACCTTGCTTTTTGCCAAAAATCGGCAGTTTTTCACAGAAAATTTTTGATAAAAGTATCAAATGTGTCTTAAAAAATCTACGTGTATTTTAAAATGATTGGAACATAAATGATCATTTAGAAAGGGAAAAAAGGTTGGTCAAAAATGGTTATTTTCCTAAGCCTCATAACCTTGCTTTTTTGCCAAAATCGGCAGTTTTTCAAGAAAATCTTTTGATCAAATAGTACCAAAATGTGTCTTAAAACAAATCTACGTGTATTTTAAAAATGATTTGGAACAAAATGATCAGTTTGAAAGGAAAAAAGCTTGGTCAAAAATGGTTATTTTCCTAAGCCTATAACCTTGCCTGTTTTGCTTTTGCCAAAAATCGGCAGTTTTTCACAGAAAATCTTTTGATCAAAAAGTACCAAAATGTGTCTTAAAACAAATCTACGTGTATTTTAAAATGATTTGGAACATAAATGATCAGTTTTGAAAGGGAAAAAAGCTTGGTCAAAAATGGTTATTTTCCTAAGCCTATAACCTTGCTTTTTGCCAAAAATCGGCAGTTTTTCACAGAAAATTGTTTGATTAAAAAGTACCAAAATGTGTCTCAAAACAAATCTACGTGTATATTAAAATGATTTGGAACATAAATGATCAGTTTAGAAAGGGAAAAAAGCTTGGTCAAAAATGGTTATTTTCCTAAGCCTATAACCTTGCTTTTTGCCAAAAATCGGCAGTTTTTCACAGAAAATCTTTTGATCAAAAAGTACCAAAATGTGTCTTAAAACAAATCTACGTGTATTTTAAAATGATTTGGAACATAAATGATCAGTTTTGAAAGGGAAAAAAGCTTGGTCAAAAATGGTTATTTTCCTAAGCCTATAACCTTGCTTTTTGCCAAAAATCGGCAGTTTTTCACAGAAAATTGTTTGATTAAAAAGTACCAAAATGTGTCTCAAAACAAATCTACGTGTATATTAAAATGATTTGGAACATAAATGATCAGTTTAGAAAGGGAAAAAAGCTTGGTCAAAAATGGTTATTTTCCTAAGCCTATAACCTTGCTTTTTGCCAAAAATCGGCAGTTTTTCACAGAAAATTGTTTGATTAAAAAGTATCAAAATGTGTCTCAAAACAAATCTACGTGTATTTTAAAATGATTTGGAACATAAATGATCAGTTTAGAAAGGGAAAAAAGCTTGGTCAAAAATGGTTATTTTCCTAAGCCTATAACCTTGCTTTTTGCCAAAAATCGGCAGTTTTTCACAGAAAATCTTTTGATCAAAAAGTACCAAAATGTGTCTTAAAACAAATCTACGTGTATTTTAAAATGATTTGGAACATAAATGATCAGTTTTGAAAGGGAAAAAAGCTTGGTCAAAAATGGTTATTTTCCTAAGCCTATAACCTTGCTTATTTGCCAAAAATCGACAGCTTTTCATAGCAGATTTTTTTATCAAAAAGTACCTGAAAAGTGTTTCAAAACAAATCTGAGTTTATTTTAAAGTGATTTGGAACATTAATGATAAGTTTTGAAAGGGAAAAAAGCTTGGTCAAAAATGATTATTTTCCTAAGCCTACAATCTTGCTTTTTGCCAAAAATCGTCAGTTTTTATACAATAATTTTTGATTAAAAAGTACCTAAAAAGTGTTTCATATCAAACCTACGTGTATTTTAAAGTGATTTGGAACATAAATGATCAGTGTTGAAGAGAAAAAAGTTTGGTCAAAAATGAATATTTTCCTAAGCCTATATAGCCTTACTTTTTAGCAGAAAATCGCCTGTTTTTGGTATGAACATTTTTTGAAAAAAAGGGACCTAAAATGTTTTCAAATGAATCTATGTGTAATTCAAAGTGACTTGGAATATTTATGATCTAGTTTCAAGGGAAAAATATTTGGTCAAAAATGATCATTTACCTCAGCCAATAACCTTGATTTTTTGCTAAAAAGGGTTTAAAATAAAATCTACGTATATTTTAAAGCGACTTGGAACATCAATTACGAGTTTTGAAGAGAAATAACTTTTGGTCAAAAATGATTATATATCTAAGCCTATGGCCTAAGTTTTTTTGCAGAAAATCGACTGTTTTTGATAATAAATTTTTTGATAAAGAAATGCCCAAAAAATGTTTTCAAATGAATCTATGTGTATTTCAAACTGATTTGGAATATTTATGATCTATTTTGAACTTCCACATGTGGTGTTATTTGCTGAACGCTGTCCAGCCTAGGGTTATCCTGTGTTGCACAACCATAGATTGGTGGTTGGTACAGGACAGTTCATGGCCTAGATACACGAACTCGTTGACCTGCTTTATGCGCTCTCCATTTATGGTGATGTTGAGTTGAGTGTTGTCTTTTGCAGTTGACATACATTCCGTTTTAGTTATGTTTTTTTGTAAATCTACTTCTGCAGCTGTATTTGAGAAGGTGTCAATTAAGATCTGGAGTTTTTGGCGATCTGAATTTGTAATTCCTAGGTAATCGGCTTTTCCCAGGTTCGACGAAACATGCCCCCCATAATGTACCC